CACACACACACACACACACACACACACACACACACACACACACACACACCGTGTTATTTAAGATGTCTTTGGATACTTGTGCAATGGATACACTTCGTATATATTTTGTCTTACACTGATACTCCAATTCATTATCCTTCTGTTTTTTACTGAGGCTTTCGTGGTTTCTGTCTCTCCCACACAAACACACACTCGCACACACTTGACGAGTTTAAACCTCATTCTGTGTTTTTTTCATATGAAGTCCAGAATAACGTAAAATAATTGATCTGGATTTATATTAATCAATACATTTATTTAATTGTTTTAGTATTTTTAGACGTGTTTGAAAGAAATTTGGGGAAGTGAAATGAATATGATGCAATGTCCCACCATTCATGCACAATATGCTATAAACAATGCACTGTATACACTCATTCTGTCTCACTTATGACGACACATTTGCTACTGTTAAATGTCCACTGCTGTTGCTCTTGGTGTTGTTGATATTGTGCATATTTGATACAATTTTGAACTTATTACTTACTCGTCCTATTTTAATTTTTGTTCCCGGTGGTGTAAATAAAATGAAATGTTAACTCTCACGAATGTCGTGGCGTGCTTATGTGACAAAGCAATATCTTCTACAAATCACTTCATCTCATCATGCTAAAACGAAAACAATAAAACAGACGAATCTCATTCTCCAAAGTGACAACAACAAATCAGAAACACTCCTCGGTGTCAGGTCGAGCAGTTACTCGCTGGCAGCAGTGTATCAGCTGACATCCGCAGTGAACCGCCGCCGAAAACCAGCAGCCATAAACATCAAGCCTCAACACCCGCCCACCTCCACATATAACGCCTCTTGTCGCTAGGGGGCACTGCCGGGAGACACCAGTGTGTCACTGTGTACATACTGTGAGCCTATGTGTTTCTCGTGTGTGCGTGTGACATAGGGATGTGTGAAATTGCTTATAGATGTTATGCAGGCTTCTGGCAGAAACTGGGTTAAACGTGTGGCAGCAGATGTGAAAACAAACCATAATTAGAGAACATCAGCCAGAAATTAATATCATTCGTCACTGCCTGGTGAGAAGGGCCTATGTGAGTGATGAGAAAGTTTACTATCACAAGGCAATCAATTACATCGGGTTGGCACAGCGCCTTTAAAAATACACACTGGATGTAGGCTGAAGCAGCCACTACCCACACAGGTGCTGCCACATCAGCCAGAAAGAAATAATGACAACCGCCCCGGGCTTCAGCACCCTCCCAGGCTACAGGTCAGGTCACAACTACACTGAATAGACACCTTCAGTTCTCATGATCTCACACGTTCATAATTTTCACAATCATCTCAACGCCACAAGGACCAGCCGATTGAGAAACAGATCATTAAACAGTTAAGAAAAGCAGCTAGTAAAGTGTATAATCTTACCCCCAGCAGGCTCTCCACAATTTCGAGCGTCACTGTGGTCCAACAAAACAGCTGAAGGGTCACGATGGCGAGTGGGATATATCAACACAACGCACATCTCCTCTGTGCTGCTGGCTGTGTTCACATTCCGGCGATAAGCAGCTTATGGAGACAGGGTGTCTGCCGGGAAAAGTCTTTTCTAGCAGGCTTTCTTCTTCCATTTGCTGTCCCAGTGGTTTTATTGCCTCCGGTGGGGGAATAAACGCAGGCAGCGGCTGGTAGAGGCGGTGACTGTCCCGAAGATCTCTCTGTCAGGAAGTCGGGGATCGGGTGAATAACACGCGCGGCAGTGCCAAGATGACTGTGCAGCATTTTTTTTCTTTAAATATTACAATAAAGGGAAATAATATGTTTCTACGCCCCAGCTTAGTCTGCTGCTGATACAGGGGAAGGACCAGAGAATAGACAACAGCATAAAGTTCATGTTCATAGCGCCTGTGCCACGTGGCTCGCTTCAGCCAATGGCAGAAAGGATTCAGTCGTAAACTTTTATTACTCAGCTGTAAATTTCTCCTTTTAACAACCAGGAATGTTTGCACCCATCTTGTCTTTCCTCTCTTTTTTCTTCTTCTTTTTTTCGATTGAACAAAACTAAACCACCAATAATATAATACATGACAGCGAAATTCCCCATATGTCACATATCAGACATGTGTCAAAATATGACAGTTCCCCTGGTGGATGAGCTCTATGCCAAGATGTCCCCCAGACAAGTTGGGAACGTGGAAATAAAAGTGTGTGAGTGCGAAGGCGAGGTAGGGGAGTAAGAAAAAGACAGAAAGCGACGGAGACGCAACTAATTAAACTTCAATTAGGCTAAACTCTACTTCCATATAAGGGCCTGTGCTTCTCATACGGAAGCAAACAGATGTCAGGATAGTCTGCACCTCACATCCAATATCAACTACGCAGACACACCAGGTGCAAGCATAATATCAAAAATTATGCCTGCTGCAAGTCATTTGTAACAAAATATACATTTTAAAAAGCAGTTGAGATTTGAGCTGGAAAAGAGAACACTCTGTTATGAAAAGAAATATACATACACTGCAAATGTTGTGCAAACCTTTAACGAAAGCTAACATCAGCACACGCAGAAAGAAAACAAAATATCTAATCGCTGCGCGTAAAATTCCTCACGCATAAAAAGTTAGGAGGTTAGGTGTATTTTTTCTTGACCTTCAGCAAATATACTGTATCCTAATACTTGCGTAATAACAGAGAGACACGGATCAAGATGAGAACAACAGCAGACGTATTATTTAATTTAACACTAACACGCAGCTTTGTATCTCGTAAATCCTTTTACAGGAAGTCCTCTGGCTTCGCCTTGAAATAATCACCTGATGTGTCGTTTGATGGCGAGTAAAGCGAATTCTCTACAAGCTAAATAACCAACAAAATTTCCCTCACTTACTAGTTTGAGTGGTGCATCTTGTCCTTGCAGGCCGTCATCGCCACACGGAGCTGAGGCACACAAAAGATGCAGGCCGAGCCGCGTCTTTACCACCGCCAATAAAGTTTACAGCAGGTACACTTAACTTTATTGGTAATGTCAACCCTCTGTTAAAACTACACACACACACACACACACACACACACACACACACACACACACACACACACACACACACAGAGAGAGAGAGAGAGAGAGAGAGAAACACACACACACATTCACACAAAGGGGTAATACGGGATGCTGGATAGCTGTGACTAAGGGACACTTCCGGAAATTTTCTAGAGACAAAGCGCACGTAAACAGAGAAATAAACACCCTGAATTAAAAGGTTGCGCTTTGGCGCAACACTGTTTGATCCGAGAGAGAGAGAAAAAGTCACTGTTAGGGGGAAAGCCATAAAAAGAGGAGACGTGAAAGACTCCGACATCTTTTGGTCTCAGTCTGGATTGAGATGAAATGGGAATGTTTGATTGAAAAATAAGTTTCCAGTTAATGTGGATAAGTTTGCGTTTTTGCGAATAATGTTCACATAAAAAGCCCTGAACACTGCTTTCGTTCTGTCTTCCTTCGTTAGGCTGTGTTATGTTGTTACCCTTCAACACTATTTATTTATATTTATTAATTCATTTTGTTCAAATAAAAGAGGTCTGAAGCACAACAAGAGGTTAGTTCGTTTTTTGCTTTTTCTTTTTCTTTACGAAAGAATTCTTAGATGAGGATAATTTTCCAATTACGAGTGTGGGCTTAAATATAAATAGTTTCAATCGCACATTTCAATATGGACACTTTTTAACTACACATTATAAAATCCCCTAACACTTACTCCTTGGCATTGCATTTGTGTCCACAATGTTCCATATATGCACTGAAGCTTATTTGAACCGTTTATAAGTGAGCAAATAAAAAGCAACAGACTTTGAATAATTTAGCTGCCTAACGCTGAAATTCGGCAGCTAAATTATTCAAGTCCCGGGTCATGTTATGGTGTATTTACTACTATCATTTACTTTGAAATTACGTATAATATTGCATTAAACTTGCAATAAATGCATTTTTTAAAGAAACAATATGTTGAAAATCATTCTGTTCTCAATTTGAAAAATTCAGATCCGGTTAAAAAAAAGGGGGTGAGGGGGGAATCAAACCGAGAGAAGGGTGCGGTCGAATTTCATGTTTTGAAAAAGAGGGTTCAAATTTCTGTTGAGGGCTAATATGATAGAGCAAGTACTGGTATTTTACCCCGTTAACAGCACGTTCAGAGACCCACATTGGTGTACCGTTTGATATTTATCGCAGTTTAGTCCTACTTGAGTGTGTTACTCAGATTTCACGTTGTCTGTTCACGTCTTCTGTCTATTACAACCCGTCATCATGAAAACCAGCTGGACTGCCGAAGAGAGATGTTACCTGTTACCTGCACTTGGCCTCCCCCGTTCGCTTTGATTTCAGCGCTCTGGTGCTTTTCCGGCGGATTGTCTGGACACAAGATTCACGCAACACCTTGCAAATGTATGGCCTCTGACAGATAAAGCCTCCCCCAAGCTCTGCCATTACTTTGTTTGATTATTAACATAGCACGTCAAATGTTTGCTCATCTCATCTCTCAAACAGCAATCAGTCATCCCGAGATTCATTAAGGAAAGCTTCGTGTCCTCCCCGAAGAGAGGAAGTTTCTTATTAAGAGGATGAATCAAATACGACTCAGGCTTTGGAGAGTAGGCCTGCTGTGAATGGGATTCGCTGTCTTTCCTTAAAAGGTAAAGGGATACATCCGCAAACGCGTGTCTGGCGCTTTTTTAATCGAACTGTTCTGAAAGTTTAAATTGGGAAAACTTTATTTAGGAGGCTTCTGCACTATCTTCCCTCCTGCCGAAGCACTTTTTTGGATGCACAGGCTGAAAATCGAGGCATCATCAAATCATCAGTTTTGAATTATTCAGGGGGCTTTTCTGTTGCACGTTATCTACTTACTGTTGTCCGTGCATGAAAACAGGGGTTCATATTGAACTCTTTACAGTGTGTAAAAAAGAAAATACTACCCTGCATATTTTCACTTCACCTATGTCTGCATGCATTTGTTTTGTGTACACGGAGAAAGGGTGGTGATGATGTTTGTTCTAACAACAGAGTGCACAGTCTTAATAAAACCAGAAATGATAGTGAGCCATCTTGTTTATTCGTGATTTTACATCAACAATGGCGGGGACACACAATTCCGTCTTTCACAGGAGAAACACCAGAAAACGAGCATATTGTTAACATCAATATATAACAAGACGTACATAAAGATTATATTCAGTGCAAAACAACTACGCTATGTCACCAGCACATTAAAATAAAAATTCCCTTACTTTAAAATCGTTGTAATTGTAGCTGTTGTTATCATACACAGTACATGTGCGTTATAGGCAGTTTTAGTTGTTGGGGAAATAGCTTGCGATCAAATCAGAGCGATGCCATAAATGTGGAATATAAATTCTGCAAAGGCAAAGCTCTGAGTTTTTAGGTAGTGCTGTGGTACAATCTCAAAAGTGTTTACTTGGCTTTGAGCTAAGTGTCTTCCCAAGACTCGCAAATTGTCTTCAACAAGTGTATACTGTTTGTTGGGTAAATGCTACATACATAACTTAATAATATAAGGTCGATATAGAACACTTTAAAATTAAAACCATATGAAATCTCTATATTCAGAAATCTCTATTGCAATTTCCCCAGGTTTAGGTAGCATCAAAGGATTCCAAACGATTGCATTTCCCTGGTAATCCTAGAGAAAGATGTCTGAGGAGCTAATGGCTGTCACATGAAAACGAGTAAAACAGTAACAGTAACAATTATAATAATAAAACTTGTGGTTTATACAGAGGCTGCTAGCCAATGCAACTGTTGCGATGATGTTTTAACACTTACTACTAAGTTATAGGCCTACATTTTTTTTACAATTTCAGAAAGGCTACTTTGAAGTGATGTCTTTTTTTTATGTAGGCTATAATCTATTTACAACACAGGTCGGCGTTGGTCATGTTTTGATCTTATTTGGCTACGTTTTTGATACAATTATTATTAAAAGCAAATTTGTAAAAAATAGCTAAGCCATTTTCCATCCAACATGCGTTTTAATTTACCCTCCCTTATTTTTTTAAAACAATGGCCAGAGTTCTATGGAGAAAAAAAACGCTACAAGCGTTTGTAGCTTCTACAGAAAAATCCAAATGGTAATGCGCATCATGTTAGGATAAACGAAAGAATGGAGAATTTTGTCTATTTATGACAGCAATATTGGTGGGATTCCTGATCCCTCTTGACAAAATAGAAGGGTGGTCATAAAGTTGACGCTCTCTGCCTCCTTGTGACTCTTCGTCTGTTTATGGGACCTCTCCTTTTTTCCTCTTTTTCACCCATATAACCATAAAAGGACCATAAAATCACTCCTTGGTCTCTTCTTTCTCTTCCGCTTCTTTCTCTTCTGCCTCTTCCCCTTCACCGTCCTCGTTCCCCTCTTCTTCGGCCTCGGCTTCGGCCTCTCCTCTTTGACCCGGAAACTTGTCTTTGTTGTTCTCTTTTTTCCACTTCATCCTTCTGTTCTGAAACCAAATTTTCACCTGTCGCTCGGTGAGGCTCAGGGCGTGAGACACCTCGATCCTTCTCTTACGGGTCAGGTAAGGGTTGAACAGAAACTCCTTCTCCAGTTCAAGAGTTTGGTAGCGACTGTAGGTTTGCCTCCCATTCCGTCTTCCTGGGGCTTGAAATATGAAATAAAGCCAGAGGTTAACAGGGCTCACCACGATCTCCCCATAAAGACATTCAGATGGCTGATAATTCTTTCTGAATTTACTCATTTCCTCTGCACAATCACTAACCCATTTCAGCTCTCACACATGCCAGATCACACTCAATGAAAAGAAAGAGCGAGTAGATGTCTTCTTGCAGTGTTAAGCTGGGTAAGTTAGATTTTCCATTAGCAGGAACATATATCAGTGTACACACAGACCACCCACAATAGAGTCCGTAGTTTGCTTGGGATCTGCAAATAAATGTCTTCAAAGTAATAATAATTTACACACATGTCTGCTTCATTTACAGTTCATTCTGCAGATCTGATGCAACTTTACAACCACATCCCCCAAGAGTTAGTGGAGTAGGATATAGTATTATTACTTTGAAGTTCAATTTTTAATCTGTACACGAAGGTAAAATTGCTCTACATCCCCCATCAATTTAATAATGTTAAAACTCTACGAACAAAATCTATATACTCCTCCATGTCAGATTGGGAGGGGTGTTTACAGAAACTACACTGTTTCCTCTTGCAGCAGAGCCCATATAAACTTGACTGACATTTTCATTCATACTCATACAGGAGGACAATAACTAGGTAGGTAAAAGTATGAGAAGACAGAGATAAAGTTGGGGACGATATTGGGATGCATGTCTCTGAGCAGAAATGAAAAATGAAGCGCACACCTGTGTGGAGCTAAAGTAGCCTTATAGCCTGGACAGAGAGATCCATGAATGGAAGGGGTAATATCTACAAAGCCCTTATGATTATGGCTGTATGTGTCTGAGCCTACAGTGGGCCTGTGGGTCAAATTACCCCCAAAACTCTAAAACCCGGATTCTGGATAATCGTGGTATGTTGTGTTTTAGCTAACCCCCCTGTCACTCTGCATGCTGCTAGTGTGCATGGTATTGTCGTATTTTAGACTACGACTTATCCATCCATTCTCATAGCTCTATTAGAGTTTGTGAAATATCTTATGTGAACGATAATTGACTTCAAAGAGCGTGTCATGTGGCTGTAATCAGCAATTCAGCGTTTAAAGGCACTTTGGAAAGCAACCATTCAGCCCTGTATGGGCATGTGCTGCAGAGTAACAGCAGCCTGCACTTCAGGTTCTATGTGCCCCATCATGTTCTCTGACTTATTTCGTTTTATAGTTTAGAGACATACTCTTGTACACCCTATGTATTTAGCACACATGCACAATCACACACACATACACACACACACGCACAGACAGGCGGATACACAGTGACACGCGCGCACTACACGGCAACACTGAAAGAATAGGAAAAATTTGTATGATTCTGACCGTGGGGTCTCATCCAAGGAAACATAAGACTGGGAGAGGAGTTTTGATTTAAGTGGCCTTGTCCTTCTCCGGGGTTAGAGCTGCTCGACGATTTACAGTCTGGGTATTGCGCTAGGCTTGCGTCTTGTTGGGTACCATAAAGCGTTTGCCTTGGAAGGGCTTCATATCCATAAAATTTCGTTGCGTCTCCGTGGCAAGCCAAAGCGCAGGGGTTTTGCTGGTATCCGGGGTTGGAGATCCCCGTGGTCCCGTGGTGAAAAAAGTCCTGCACATGATGGGATGGGTGCTGAAAGCCCGGTGCGGTCGCTCCGGGTCCGTAAACTAGCGTGTGGCTGCGGGCAACGCTTTGTGGAAACCTGCAGTCGTAGTAAGTTGGCTCCAGTGACTCGCTGCCTTTGTATTTAGAAAAAAGAGGGTTAACAAAATAGGAGCTCATGTTTAGTTAGCATCAAGCAGACGGGCTCTCTCGCAGCAGAATATCTCCTTTAGGATGATGGCAGCCTTTTGTTTAGGGTCCCAACTCGCGCAGCGCACACAAGCAGACAAACCGGAACTAGGAGAAACGCTGCCCCTTTGGACAATCTACGGCAGCTCACTCTCTCTGAGCCGTTCCTCTCATCGGATTTCTCCTCGCAGTCGTGAGTGGGTTTTTTTTCCAGGTTTTGCAGTCTCAAACCCGGCTCATGGCATGTGCTTTGGATGTGTGTTAGCTAAGGTTACAGCTGGCTCGCTCGACCGGCACAGTCACAGGCGCTGCTCTTTTCTTTCTTTTTCCTTT